CTAGGGTTTAAGGTAATTTTCTCAAGAAAATTTACAAAATACAACCTCCATATATGGTGTTTTCACTTTATACACCATATTTTTTCAATTTAAATTATATACTACATTCTGTAACAAAAAAAAAATGTTGAAAAAATTACAAATTTGACATTATAAATAATTAAATAGACCAAAATATTCATAATTGAAAACAAAAAATCACGACTTTTGTATTACAATATGTATTTTCATATTAAAAATTGAAATAGTTATGAAATAAACATCCATGTCCTCCGACGGTGCAACGTGTTTCTGGCACTCCGTTGAACGAATGTTACCTGCAAAATGAGGTTGGGGCTTTCTCCCCTTTTTGTCTCCGACATGAGAATTAGTAGGTGATTTAAGAATGTAGGAAGAAAAGATAGAATGAGTATTCAAATAGCCAATTTTTTCAAAATCCATACTTTTCTCGCCTTATGAGTATTTATAGGTATCTAAAATCATATAATTGCTAGACAATTATTGTGTCATGTGTCCCACGTAGCACCTTCCACTACTCCACAAGTTGTGAGTGGAGAACTTCCACCTATCCAACGGTTGGTTGTATCAATGATAACCATTGAACTATTTTTATGATTAAGTGTTGTGTTGGACTTGTACTGGTAGAGGGCTTCAAAATGGTAGGCGCCTAGACGGTCTAATATGAACATAGAGAGTCTCATAATGGTAAACGACCTAGTACGAATGTAGAGGACCTGATAATGGTAGACGACTTAGTACGAACGTAGATGGCCTTATAAGGTAGACGACCTAGTATGAACGTATAGAACCTCATAGTGGTAGATGGCTTAGTATGAACATAGAGGATCTCATAGTGGTCGACAGTCTCATAATGATAGACGGTTGAGTATGAATGTAGAAGGGCTCATAGTGGTCGATGATCTCATAGTGGTAGACGGCCTAGTATGAAGGTAGATGGCCTCATAATGGTAGATAACTTAGTATGAACGTAGAGAGCCTTCAGGTTGACTCGTTTCTAACTGAAGTTTGCTGTTGGAACAACT